CTCAGTCAGTAGAGCATGCTACTCTTGATTTCAGGTTGTGAGTTTGAGGCCCACATTGGGTATAGAGATTACTTAAAATAAAATCTTTTTAAAAATAAAATAATCACTACATCAAAAACTAATGAGTATTGTATGGTGACTAAAATAACATAATAAAATTAAATTAAAAAAATAAAATATCCATACTACCTGAAGCAATCTACAGATTTAATGCAGTCCCTATTAGAACACCAACAGCATTTCTCATAGAACTAAAATAAATAACACTAAAATTTGCATGAAACTACATACACAAAAAAACCCCAAATAGTCAAAGCAATCTTGAGAGAGAAGAACAAAGCTGGAGGTATAACAATTCTGGATTTCAAGATATACTACAAAGCTGTAGTAATCAAAACAGTATGGTACTGGCACAAAAACAGATGCATCTATGAATGAAACAGAATAGAGAGCCCAGAAATAAATCCAGGTTTATATAGTCAATTAATCTATTACAAAGGTGGCAAGAATATACAATGGGGAAAAGACAGTCTCTTCAACATATGGTATTAGGAAAACTGGAGAGCCAAATGCAAAAGAATGAAACTGGACCATTTTCTAACACTGTACACACAAAAATTCAAATTGGATTAACAACCTAAATGTGAGACCTGAAACCATAACAATGGTAGAAGAGACACAGCTATTTCTGTGACATCAGCCATAGTAACATTTTTGTAGGTAGGTCTCCTAAGGCAAGGGAAATAGAAGCAAAAATGAAGTATTGGGACTACACCAACCAAAAAGCTTTTGCACAATGAAGTTAACCAGCAAAATCAAAAAGGCAATCTACTGATTGGGGGAAAATATTTGCAAATGATATATCCAATAAGGGGTTAATACCCAAAATATGTAGAGAACTTACACAACTCAAAATCAAAAAAACCCAAATAATCTGATTATAATTTTTTTCCTCAAAAAATTAAAAATAGAAATACCATATGGTTCAAAAATTTTGCTACTAGGTATTTTACCCAAAGAAAATGAAAACACTAATTTGAAAAAGATATTTGCACCCTTATGTTTATTGTAGCATTATTTACAGTAGCCATGATATGGAAGTAACCTAAGTGTCCATTAATAGCTAAATGGATAAGGAAGTATGGTTTATGTACACACACATGTGCACACACACACTGGAATATTACTCAACCATAAAAAGATAAGGTTGTACCATTTTCAACAACATGGATGGACCTACAGGACATTATGCTAATAAAAATAAGTCACACAGAGAAAGACAAATACCATGTGATTTGACTCCTATGTGGAAACTAAAAAAATAAAAATCAATGAATAAAACAACAAAAAGCAGAAACAGATCCATAAATACAGAGCACAAATTGATGGTTGCCAGAAGGGAGGCAGGGGATGGGCAGATGGGTGAAGGGGAGTGGAAGATATATGCTTTCTGTTATGGAATGAATAATGCATGGAAACAAAAGGTACAGCATAGGGAAGATAGTCAAAGATATTGTAATAGTATTATATGGTGACAGATAGTAGCTATACTTGTAGTGAGCATAGCATCACATATAGAGAAGTTGATTTACTATATCATACACCTAATACTAATGTAACACTGTGTACCAACTCTACTCAAATAAAAAATTTAAAAAATAAACTATGAATGATAAACCACCCTTGCAATCCTAGAATAAACTCTGCTTGATCATAGTACATTATCATTTTATATATCACTGTATTTAATTTGCTAATACTTTGTTTTGGAGTTTTGCATTTTTTTAAGTAAACATTGGTCTATCACTTTCCTTTATTTGTAATGTCCTCATTCAATTTTGGCAATAAGTTTATGCTGATCTCATAAAAAGAGCTAGAAAGTTTTCCCTCCATATCTATTATCTGAAAACATCCATGTGAGATTAATGTTATATTTTCCCTAAAAATTTAGAAGAATTCACAGGTGAAATTATTTGAGCCAGTCGTTTTGTTTGTGAAAAATTTTTTATCAAGTATTAAACATCAGTACTAGACATTAGATGATTACATTTTCTGTTTCTTCTCTCATGTCTATAGGAAGTGTTTTTCAAGGAATTTATCCATTTTATACAGGTTGTGAAATTTATTGCCAAGAAACTCTTAATATCCCTCCTCCTCCTCCTCCTCCTTCTTCTTTACACTGTAGCACCTGTAGTGATAATCAACTTTCCATTCTTAATATTGGTCATTTTTGTTTTCTATTTTTTTGATCTGCCTTACAAGGGATTCATCAATTTTATTTTTTTTCAAAGAACTACTTTCATCTTTATAGTTTTTTTCATTTGTTTCTTTTGTATTTTATTGATTCCCCTCATTTATTTTGTTTTTTTCGTTTCTAATATACAATATCAAGACTGTATATTTCATCTAAACACTGACTTAACTGCACCCCATGAATTTTAAAATGTATCTTCATTATTATATATTCAATGTAAAATATTTTTCAATGTCTGTTTTTAATTTCTTTTTGATCCATGAATTATTTAGTTTATTGTTTAATTTACATGGAGTTTATGATTTTCTTATTATTTTGAAACTTATTTTTAGCTTAATTTCTTTATGGTTAGAGAATAAAGTCTAAATGATTTTGATATTGTAAAACATAAGGTAAATACATAGACAAATATAACTCAGAAGACATTATGCTAAGTCAAATAAATCAGAGAAAGACAAATACTGTATGTTCTCGCTTATAAGTGAAAACTAAAAAATCCAAACTCATAGAAATAGAGAGTAGAATGGTAATTTCCAGGGGCTGGGTGGGGGAGTGGAAAAATGGAGAGAGGTTTGTCAAAAGGTACAAACTTCCAGCTATTAAGATGAGTAAGTCCTGGAAGTCCAACGTACAGCATGGTTGACTGTAATTAATTAACAGTACTGTATTATATACTTGAAAGTAGGTAAGAAAGTAGAACTTAGATGTTATCACCCCCCCACACAAAAAAGGTAATTATGTGAGGGGATGGAAGTGGTAACTAACCTTATAGTGATAATCATTTTACAATATATGCATGTATCAGATCATTTTACAGCTTAAACTTATATATGTTTTATGTCAATAGTATCTTAAGCTGGAAAAAACTCTATCTGATTGATATGTATATTTCACCTTTTACTTCTTTCAGTTTTTATTTTACAGATATTAATGTAAGATATAGACTACATTCAGATTACAGTTGTGATATTTTCATGTTTGTTTAACTCCTTTATCATTATGAAGATCCCTCTTTTTTTTTCCAGTAATGCTTCTTGCTCCAAAGTCTATGCACCTTGACTACAATCAGTATAACTACAGTGCTTTTCTGGGGGGCCGTGGGGGTTAGTATTTGCACTGTATATCCTTGTCCATTCTTTTCAGTTCATGTATACCTATTTCATGTATACATA